GTGACTAAAAAGTTTCTCTCCTTTATTTTTTTTAAATATTTTTTTTTCTTCCATATGTTCATTCATTTTGAAAAGTTTCAGCTAGTTCCACAAGCACAGAATTATCAAAGGAAAATATCAGTTAAATTATTGTTGTTCCATACCCTTCTTTTTCTGCCACTACTATTACAGCCATTGACAAGTAAAAAGGTTGAAATATTTTGGTGCTTATATAACACAAGCCTTTCAGTAAAATACTTCTAATTTCCCAAAGGATAATTTTCCTATCAAAGACTTCACTTCTGACATTTTTTTCAAAAAGCCCTGCTTGTCAGTAAACAAATGAAATTGCTCATGCACGCTAAAGAAAAGAAACACAGAAGTGATATGAGATTTTCTTGGTGTTCCTGCTGTGGCACGGAAGGTGACACAAGTATAAAATACAAAAGGCTTGCATTTCATAATGGTTTGGAGGTGAGTTCATACAGTTCATACCCTTCCTTCATGCCTCTCTGATATCAGTTCATTATCTGAGGAAGGAACAAGCTGATGTTCCGATACATTACAAAAATAGAAATGAAATACCTAATTTGCAGATAGGTACTCAGAACATGTTAGAGTTCAAGCTCTGAAATGAGAGAAAACGATGCTGACACCAAGTGGACGAAAACGCTTCCGGCTCCATCCTATTGTAACCATGAGACACATGAAAATCTCAGAGCTGCTAGTCAGGTTTAGGTGTTGTGGTGAATTTTTTAAACATCAGAGGAGGACCACACAGATCCTCTGAACGCAGAAACCTGTACTTCTAATGTGTAAACTAGCTGACTAATTAAAATTATCTTCCTTGTAGTGTAGCTGATCTTAGTAAGCACAGCAACTGGCTGCTGCTCTGAAAACATCAGGTATTACCCTCTTTCACAAATGGCAGATAAAAGTCCTTAATCCGTAACCTATATAGTTCAGTGGGCCTGACTGGCTATGACAGGAGCTTTTGATATGCCCTGTTCACAGAAAAACTAAAAACAGGCATTCAGAGGCTGAGAAGTAACAAAGATGAGTCTCCACTGATACGGTTTCTCTACAGCCTGCAAAACACATTTTCCAAGCCAGAAAAGGCCTGTATCAGTGACCAGTTTGAGAAAAAACTTCCCCACTCACACACTTTTTATCATTATTGAATGACAATGAGTGATCAGTGTAATCAGCCGGTGTGTTTGCCTGAATTCTGTATTTGTGTTACTGATTGCAAGAAAAAAAATCTCGGGATTTCAGTTTGACCAGCTCCCCTCTTCTGCACTCAAGCTGCTTGTTGCAGTAAAACACAGAAGCCTGTGTTTCATGTCACACAGAGCACACACTCACCTGCCAATATGCTCTCCTCTTGCAAGCCTTCCCCAGAGAAAAAAGTAAATTACAAAAAAATACACATTGAGGGGAGAAGGGAGAGAAAAGAGCAGAAAGCAGCAAACTGCACTAGCTCATAGAAAGGAGTTGAAGTCCCTGCCTACACTACAGCAGTTTTTATCAAATTCTTATGCCTATAGTCAGTAAAACATTCTGCACTGCTTACCTGGAAAAAGATTTAAAAAAATAGAAAAAATCCTTACAATCTATAACCAACAGTTTCTACGGGATGTAGGTCCTAAAAATGTATGGCATTTTTTTATCTGCTCTTCTGGTTTGGGCACTACTCAAATATAAAATTAAAACTTACTATTTAATAAGCTCATGTATTTTTCTGGAATGGGAAGTAATATGAAGAAGCCTTTCTATAATGTGACAGTAATCCCTACAGAAATATTGACAAATCTCCTGGCACTTCACATAGTACACGCAGGATTTGCTGTGTTCACATCTAAATCCAACTAAAAGTTATAATTTCTAAGCAAAGAATTTACATGAAAGAAAGTAATGAAGACCTATGCCAGTTTAAATTTAGGAAAAACAGTTAATAGCAACAAATAGGAATTGGAACTATATTCCATTATCCAAGAAAAATTATTTTAACAAGACAGTTTCATCTAGCCTGGAAATTTCAGTTTGGTAGATCATAAGATAATGTCTGTTTGGTTGTTCATTCATTTTGAAAAGTTTCAGCTAGTTCCACAAGCACAGAATTATCAAAGGAAAATATCAGTTAAATTATTGTTGTCCTCCAAACTGGGGACAGCTCATAGTTCTTTATCATGACAACTTCAGATGAGATAGAAGCACCACATCTTTTTCACAGAACAGGGTTAATGCCAACATGCCCATTTCCTCTTTCAAAAAAGGCTAAAAACCAGAGATTAACGAACCTCTCCAGACCACAAAAGCCTTCCCAACAAAACCATAATTTGAGTAGATAAAGTCTTCATGACATATTTAGTTTCACTGTTACAACCAACTCCAAACCACACTTCAGTCTCAGTAATTCATTCTGAGGTGTCTGTGGTCAGCCTGCAGGTTTAGGATACTGTCCAGCTCTCATTCCCCAGTCCGCTGGATCTCTGCAATTGCTTTATAATGGGGTTCCATGATTGCAAACAGCAGCTGCATGAGATCCAATCAATAGGCAGTCCCTGCAGCCTTGCCGTTATATAGTGAAGTGTGCATAAAAAGGACACACAAATAAAAAAAAAAAAAAACAACCAACCAAAAAAAAACAAACAAACAAACAAGAAATGAGACTCATTTCCTCAGGGTGTAGGCTTTTCTTCTAATGAATCCCATGCTTTAATGGAAATACATGCAGTGGCTTGAATGTACCCACAAAGGCATGCTTCTGTTTGTTTGCAAGACAAAGGTAGTGTGCATAGCTCAGGAATGATTTATTTATGGCTTCTACACAAAAAGGAGATATGAAAAAACACACTCTTGGACTAGAAGCAGAAAAAGTTCCATAGTCAACTTTTAGCTAGAACATAAGATTCAGCAATGATGAGGGCAAACAACATGACAAATTGCTATTAGCAAGGTTTGGTTCATAATTTAATTACACTATAAAAGTTAAGCTAATCTTGTACACATCCATCATGGCTAGTGATATGCTTCAAGTTAAATACAGCTATCTAAGAGAGGCCTCAGGTCAAAACAAACATCACAGTGTCTAACTTCTTTCTGAAGAATGATTTAAGCCAAACAGGAAAATCAGTTTAGTACCAGTTCAGTTTGCAAGCTAATTAATTAGGTTAAAAAAAGACCACAACAAAACCAACAACAACAACAGGGAGAAAAAAAAAAAAAAAATCACAGGAATTAAGTAGTCCAAATGTTAGTATCTCTGTAAATGCTTCAAGATATTTCATGAGAAACAGCCAGTAAAAGCAAGTTTAACTTCCAGGAAGCAACAAGGGATCTGAGGCAGGTTTGCCATTTTACTTTTTGCTTGCTTTGCTGGAACTAGAACATGCACTTTTAACATGTTTAGTTTGTAAACCTAACTTTGATGTTTCCAGTTTAATAGACTTTGAGCAATCATTGTGTTATGAAAGATGAAGGGTATCTATCCAATGTGCTGGGTTTCCTGTCAGAAATTACAAAAACAAGATCAACCACAGAATACTGAATTCCCTTCTCACCCGCAGATGGGATTTCTTTCATAAGCTTACCTCAGAGCAGGAGAGTGCCTCATGGCTATGCCTTGTCTGAGGTTTTATTAAAGAACTTGAAAGGACCTTTTCAGCAGAATTCTTTCCCACATCACCACAATCCCAGGCAGACTGTGACATTTTACAGAATTGCAGGGAGTGAATTTGCTTCTAAAACAAAAGCACTGCAATAGGAAGCCAGGTTTTCTGCCTTCTCTAATACCTTTCCAATTTTCTTTAGCTGCCAATGCTGTTTCTAATTTCGCAGGCAGAAGCAGATAGGATAGCTAATACTTTGCCCTTGTGTGCTCATTTGAGTACAAATTGCAGGAATGCTCAAAGGTGGCAGTGACACGGGACACCTTCAGAGAGTAACGTTTGTGCTCCAACACTGCTTGTGTGAAACAACCCTAGATTTAGATTTTGGGCCATGTCCTGTGACACAGCAAGACTATTTCAGGAGCAGCCTTGTATCAGTGCATTTTGTTCTCTGTACTTACAGCTGTACAGGATTTATTTCAAAAGAGAGTTTCCAAGGAGCATTACAGTCTTAATATTCAGTTTAAGATACGTAATATGCTCTAAATACTGAATTTGCTTTTGTATTAGAAGTCTGCTGGTTTTCCTTAACAGAGATACTTGGAGAAGGAAGACAGGAAATCAAGGAGTTGCAAACATGAGGAACATGATCTACAGTTACATGCAATGCAAATCTCTTTCATAATCCTTCACTTGATTTGGCATACTGGTATCAATCTAGTCACGAACCACAGGGATGTGTGGTAACTGCATGGTGCAGTATTAAACTGTAGGCTTTGCTACATTTCCTTCATGTCTTTTTCTAAAAATCAAGTTCAATTTAGGCAGTGATGATACCTCAGACCACGAACTGAAAACAAGACTTATACCAACCCTATTCCTAAACCAGCATTTGTCTTCCTATCGTATTTTTTCCACCAGGAGGTTTTTAACAAAAAAAGGCAAGAAAGGAATCAAGGTACCAGCTCTGTTTTAGACAGAATATGCCCAGGGAGAGCTGAAACTATGCAGCAAGTTCTGGAAAGTTAAGAGATTTTTCACCTTTCTGATTTTGCTTTCGTTCATTGCCAATGTATAATGAAACACACACACACAAAATAAGAAGTGCTTCACCTGAGGAAAAATCCAGTGTCTTTGATCTAACAAAGCTTGGCATTACGATATTTGAAGTGGAACAACTTGAGATTTTATTGTTGGCCTTTTATTTTTTTAATTTCTTTTTTGTTTCAAAATCATATTCTTAAGCACTCATGTTTCTTCTCTTAGGCATATGATGAATATTTACATTGCTAGCAACAAGCTACAGTCATTAATTACACTAGGTATAAACAACTATGTTCCCATTTCTAAGTTCCAAGCTAATGAAGCACTTTTGATCACTTGCTGAATCAATTCACATAACTTTCTTACCTGAAGGCCATCTGCTTGTCTCTGGGAGAAACAAGAGTTCCAGTCAACAAAAAGCATCTCATGGTGTTGAAGCAAATACAGCAGGAGGCCATTGTAAAGTCTTTGTTCTTCAGAAGCCAAGGGACTGACAGGGATCCTAAGGGAAGAAGAGACAGATTAAGTTTAGGAGCTCTGAGATCAGGGGCTAATGTTGAGACACATAGGGAGCCCCACATTACCCAAGATAATTCAGCAAAGCAGCCAGCTGGGTGACTTGATAAAGCGGAATTCCAGCCTCATTTCCAACAAGCAATTGCTGGAACAGGGACAAACTTAAATTGGTGGCTCGCAACACTGGGAGCCTCCCAGTGACAGAGCTCCAGTTTGCTGCAACAGTTCACAACCTTTGAGTAGCGAATGAAAAATGAAACTTTGAGTAGCACAGAAAAATAGCTAGAACAGAAACTGAGAAATTAAGTTTATAAAATCAAGGATGAAGAGGATCATAGAAAGCCCCAGAAATCTGCAATCACTCACTGGCACCAAGGCTGGAAGAGAGTAGGTTTGCTCTAGTTTAGTTTATGAAGGTGAACTTTGATGGCTAGAGTGTCTTATTACCAGAACTGCCTAGAAAAAAAAATAAACATAAGAAACTGTTTTAATATTTTTATGTATTTTTAATAAATAGAAGTGGAATTTGTACTATCCACTTAAGCAGAAAAAGCTGGAATGATTCAACTACAGTGAAGGGATTTTTTTATACGGAATTCTAATTTCATTCCCTGAAGAAATTGTGAAAGAATGAAGAAATTAATTCCCCAATGAACTATTTAGAAGCCTGCAAGACATTTACATAAATGCTGTCACTATAACACAGCTTCTCCAGCCATATTGCACCAACTCATTTCCACCCAGCACAATATTAATATTTAAACAATAAATTCATAAACTCTGGAGACTGATGTGGAGACATAAACACACCAGTCTTCTGTTTGCAGTAAATTCATTTTTCAAGATTTTAAACTACAAATATACATACTGGGCCCAGTCAAAATTCTTTCATTCACATTCTTCTTTTGTAAACTTACTGTTATTTCTGTAAGAACTTGAGTTTGGGCTCCTTTTGAAAGAGGATGGTTTAAGCAGAGTTATAACCAGGTACAACACAGACAGATTTACAGGGTAAACTACTGTCTCATCACTTCTTTCTTTAGGGTTGGCTAATAGTTCTGCTTCTTCAATTCCTATTCTTCTCAGGACAGACTCAGGTTCTCCACAAAAAGAAGCCATCATGTAAAACCTCACTTACCAAGCAACAGCCTTTCTTGCATACAATAGTCCTAAGAGATTATTCATTATTTGCCCAAACATTAACACCCTCAACTCACAGGCCACACAAGCAGATACTTTAGTCTTTTGCCTTCTTTTTCAGCATCATTGTTTAACTTAGACATATGTTCCCAAATCCATTTCTACCAGCTGTTAACTCCTCACTAGTAAGTAGCACTGCACAAGCTGTTCATTAAGATAAACAGTTCTCACTCTACTTTTGGGTCACACATTCCCTTACTAGGAGCCTGTTTTGTGTGCCCATTTATCATTTCATCTTAAAATAAATCTAAGCAATGCTCCTGGATGTCACCCTCCAGCTGACTCCAAATATCAATGCTCATCTGCAGATGTCCATAAGTGGCAACAGGTGTGTATTCCAAATATAGAGTATACATTTTTAGTTTTCTCTGTAGCCACCTTCCACAATGACTTTCAATTAATTTCATAAAATAATCACTTCCTGCCTCTTCAGATATTTCTACTGCTAGCAAAAACTATATTATCAGACTGACAACAGGGCAACCATGTTTACACACTGCTAAATCTAGGAACATGTTCCTAAGAAAAGCACAGCTAGTGAAGTATATTCTGCACTTCACCATAAAAGCTCCGTAGTTACTTGGAGTGCAAATTAAACACAGGAGAACACTCACTACAAATAGGAAACCATTAAGACTTGATCATCAGGAGTCACATACTGGTTTCCTGGAATCTAAACTTTTCAAAGTTGCTTTGCCACAAAGTACAAGCTAGAAAATCCATACAGTCCCTTGCCTTGGATTTGCCTGGGATATGTGCCAAGGTTCCCTGCTGTCAGAGGCTTGCTATAAATTTGCTACAAAAGAAAGAATGAGTCAAAGCGAGTAGAAGCAAACAGCTGGTTGGCTAGCATCCTTGTACACTCATGCCAGAATTACTTACTGAGGTTAGTAGCAAACATCCCTTTACCAAGATGAGGTGTAAACAAAGTATTTACAGAAATTTAAGTAACATCACTTAATCTCTGATAAAAGCAAAACACCATGTTCTCCTCAGCATTTACAGAGACTAGCAGGACATGAAACAGCTCACAAGAAGGATGATGAATAGCAACAGAAATAAATACTTCAGGGCATAATCATAAAGATAACAACAAAAGTTGGTAAAAGAGTGGAGCCTAGCAAAGAAAGCCTAGGGAGTAGCCAGCCTGATACTTGACTGATGAGTTGAGTTTTTGGTTCCCTTGTCTACAAGTAGATAAGGACATGAAAGCTGCATCATGCAGATGTTAAAACTGAAGTCTCAGAAGATAAGAAAGAGATGCCAGAATCAAAAATCTAGAAGAAAAGTAACATGAAAGCTGCTGATGGAGCAACTTAACAGCAGTGAAGATAGCATAACTCAAACTCATGGGCAAAAAATAGCATGAGGGAGGAAGGCCAGTAGAAGAAATCAGGAGCTGGTTCACAAAGGAGACTAAGGTAAAATTAAAACATTTTACTCAGTTATGCTTTTACTGAAACCTACTTTTTTTTCTTACTCTCACTTTGGGTCCTACTGATACCGGGAAATAAAGGGTTAACATTGTGCCTGCTTGCTTAAGCAGTCGCTGTGCTTGGTGAAGCAGAGCTGTAGGAGTCAAAGTTGCTAGAATGGTGAAGCAGAATTGTAGGAGTTACAGCTGCTAGGCAGAATTGTAGTAGATAAGATTCATAGCTTAATATTTAAGACATTCTTGTTCAAATAGTATGTTTAGAAAGAAAAAGAACAAAAGATAGACAGAGTAACAAAATTTGGAAACTTGACAACTTTCTGCTTTGAGATATATAGAACCGGCTTGTACCGAACCTGATGTTTGGATAGGAGCCGAAACCTTATTGAATCTGCGTGAAAGCAAGACGTTCCTAGCGGTGATGAAAAGGAACTACAGGCCTTCGTCCTCACGACCCCCTAACGACCACCACCAGGAGGCACTGTGTAGGTGCACCAATGGGATGAATGCCAGAAAAATAATTATAATACTAGACAGGAATAGAATCATAGAATAGTTAGGGTTGGAAAGGACCTTAAGATCATCTAGTTCCAACCCCCCTGCCGTGGGCAGGGACACCTTACGCTAAACCATATCACCCAAGGCCTCGTCCAACCTGGTCTTGAACACTGCCAGGGATGAAGCATTCACAACCTCCCTGGGCAACCCATTCTAATGCCTCACCACCCTAACAGGAAAGAATTTCCTCCTTATATCCAATCTAAACTTCCCTTGTTTAAGTTCTAACCCATTATCCCTTGTCCTATCACTACAGTCTCTGATGAAGAGTCCCTCTGCAGCATCCGTGCAGGCCCCCTTCAGATACTGGAAGGCTGCTATGAGGTCTCCATGCAACCTTCTCTTCTCCAGGCTGAACAGCCTCAACTTTCTCAGCCTATCATCATATGGGAGGTGCTCCAGTCCCCTGATCATCCTTGTGGCCCTCCTCTGGACTTGTTCCAACAGTTCCATGTCCTTTGTATGTTGAGGACACCAGAACCGCACATAATACTCCAGGTGAGGTCTCACAAGAGCAGGGTAGAGGGGCAGGATCACCTCCTTTGACCTGCTGGTCGCGCTCCTTTTGATGCAGCCCAGGATACGGTTGGCTTTCTGGGCTGCAAGCACACACTGAAGCTGGCTCATGGTCATTTTCTCATCGACCAGCACCCCCAAGTCCTCCTCCACAGGGCTGCTCTGAATCTCTTCTCTGCCCAACCTGTAGCTGTGCCTGGGATTGCTCCGACCCAGGTGTAGGACCTTGTACTTGGCATGGTTAAACTTCATTAGCTTGGCATCAGCCCACCTCACAAGCATGTTGAGGTCCCTCTGGATGGCATTCCTTCCCTCCAGCATATCATCTGAACCACACAGCTTGGTGTCATTGGCAAACTTGCTGAGGGCACACTCAATCCCACTGTCCATGTCAGCGACAAAGAGGTTGAACAAGACCAGTCCCAACACCGATCCCTGAGGGACACCACTTGTTACTGGTCTCCAGCTGGACATTGCGCCATTGACCACAACTCTTTGTGTGCAGCCATCCAGCCAGTTCTTTATCCACTGAGTGGTCCATCCATCAAATTGATGTCTCTCCAATTTAGAGACAAGGATGTCGTGTGGACAGTGTTGAACGCTTTACACAAGTCCAGGTAGATGACATCAACTGCTCTACCCCTGTCCATCAGTTCTGTAGCCCCATCATAGGCGGCCACCAAATTGGTCAGGCAGGATTTCCCCTTAGTGAAGCCATGCTGGCTGTCACCAAGCACCTTGTTGATTTTCATGTGCCTTAGCATGCCTTCCAGGAGAACCTGCTCCAAGATTTTGCCAGGCACGGAGGTGAGACTGACTGGTCTGTAATTCCCCGGGTCATCCATTTTCCCCTTCTTGAAAATGGGGGTTATATTTCCCTTTTTCCAGTCATCGGAAACTTCACCTGACTGCCATGATTTCTCAAATATGATGGCCAGCTCCTTCAGGAGCTGCGGATGGATCTCATCAGGACCCACGGACTTGTGCACATTCAGATTTTTAAGATGGTCTTGAACCAGTTCCTCTCCTACAGTGGGCACAAGGTCTTCATTCTCATATATATTAGGCATGAAGAAATCTCATGTTTAGGTAATCATTCTATGTACTATAAATGAACTGAGTGGCAAAGGAGGGTGCACATGCTTTTGGAGGAGCAACCACCATGCACCTCAGTGCTGAATAAAGCATACCTATTTTACAAATCTGACAAGTTGTGGAGTCAATCTGCGTATCACTACCACCCTGAACAGGGTGGAAGCATATAATAATATAACAGAATTCTTCTAATATGAAGGTTATTTTAGTCAAATATTTGATATAAGCAGCATTAAATTAAGGGACTGCAAGATAAAAGACAGCTTATTTAAGTTCACTTTTCACACAGTGATATTAGTTTCCTAGCATTTAGGAGTTTCCTGTGACCATGTAACTAGACTTCCAATATAACACCTGTGTTAAGGCTTATGTTTTTGTATTGCTACCACCATAGCTACTAATTGTGAAGTGTATGCAGTTTAAGCTTGCAAGATATAATAAGCAGCAAGTTTTATATTCTAATTTTGTGCCCCCAGGGTCCATATGTGCTCTTATGTACCAACCAGTAAATATTCCAACTCGGTCACTTCAGTGAAGCTATAGGCATGACAGGTCTCCACAAATAAAAGCATACCAGATTCACAGGTGATACACAGAACTTACACTTGAATATAAATAGATCAAAAGTTTAAAGTAAAATGGCTTATAAACAACCTAGTTTACTTGCTTAATGTCAAAGAAGAAAGAATTCCACAAAAATGCAGATTTCCAGAATACATGCACAACAGTTTTAAAAACTGCAATGAATCAGTGCCATAAGTCTAGCTGAAGTTACATTCAGAATGTTATTTCCAACAACTGCATGGGATATACACTTCTGCAGATTAGATCTGGAGGTGTTTTTTCCATAACCTTCGCATTCTGACTGAACAAATATAGCAAGTACACGATGTGTTTCACTTTCCAGTGAGTCTACACTCTGGCTGCAAAATGTTTCATAATGTGGTGACTAATTGCACTAATTCTTGCTCTGAAAGACATAAAGCATATTTGTGACTTTATTCCATGTGTGAGCAGACATGGGTTGCCACATTAAACTAACTTGAATTTTGCCGTTTTACAGGACAATAAAAATGGCTTATTCCTAATCATTCAAGCCCTCAGGTCACTCAGCAGGAAGTGGTAGAGAAATCTGACAGAGAGAAAATGCCAGCTGCCATGCTCTCCCTTCCACCCAACTATCAAAAAAAAAGTGATTTTTTTCATAATCCTAGGAGGTAACTCTCCAAGGACAGCACAAGTTAGACACTTTAAAAAAAATGAGCTCCAGACTTACTGGTTTCTCTCCCACAGCTGGTAAGATCAGAATGACTAAAAAGCTGGAGTTAATGTTCATAGGGCAGACTTCTATTTATGGTAGCTGCGTTGCCTTGACAAGTCACTGGCAGGGAAACTCGATGCTGTTTTCAAGGTTTCTCTGACAGATCATTGCCACACACATTTAGTTTAGCACTAAGTGTACTTAAAAAAAACCCAACCAAATCAAACAGAACAGCATGCTCACAAGCAACTGGACCATCTCCCAAAACAGAGTGGGATTCTTAAAAGCTGAAATAGTGCATCAATCTGTAAGGGAGCCTACTGCATTCTTATGTGTAGATACCAAAATCAGTGGGTGCACATTCAGGTAATTTAGAAATTGAGATAAAACAATAAAATATTCTTGCATGTGTGTGCATGCACAGAAGTCCCAGGTGATGGCAAACGGGGTCTGACGGCAGAAGAGTGACAGTGCAGTTGAGTTAGTGTGGGTGTTAAGGGTCAGTCAGATTTTTTGTGAAGGCCTTCTGGCATCAGCATTTTACCTGTTTATAAGTATCACCACACAACTAACCCAGACACTGGAAAGTAAGCCTCATCTGCCTACACTGGTTTACTAAATTTAGCATGCAGATACTAAGGAACTTAGGGAATGGTTGTAGAATTACTTTGTTCCACCACTGAACACCCTCCATGGTGAAGTTTGTTCTCACTAGAGTGAATGGCATAACTCCTACTACACTACATGTTGTTGGATTCTTCTCCATAGCTGTACTTTTGCTAAAATAAGTGTACTTTTCTTTGTATCACCTGCAAAGGCTATATGCTGATACATCTGCTGATAAGCCCATAGAGCAGGTAAACAGACACAAACAGAGACAGCTATGGAAGCAGCAGCAAAAAGTGCAGTTCCCCAACACAAAGCCTGTCATTGATTTCTAATACTTTTGGTACCAATTTACCTGAATATATCTTCTTAATAACTTACTTTGCTTGCCATATAAAAAAAAAAATATGTGAAAAGTAACACGGCTTTTTTACTGCATAGAAAATACTGATTGTTAATGTATACATTTTGCAAAGGGACACTGGCTTATCATTCACATTAAGCTGGAATACCTGTGAGCCACTAAAGGGTTTACAAATTGTAAGACAGACATAAACATTTTAATATCCTCTAGTATCAACATGGTGGATAGAATAAAGAACTAAATCATTTCAGCTTCACTGGAAAATCCTCTAGTATTAGATCACTCAAGACTGCTCTTCCTCACCACCTTGACTTGCAAGATGTATGCCCTCCCACCTTTCTTTTTTAGTACCTAGTTATGTGTCCTTTCACCATCATCTCAAACACACCTTCTCCAGCTTCAGCCAGGAACTCATTGCTTTTGAGCTCATCTGGCCTCTGTTCAGATGTCGATTTGCATTTTAGTCATTCTGCAAGGACAGAATGAGTTACTTCTCTTTCTTGATAGAAGAGATTCCTTTCTCTGATATCAAACGCTAATTCAAGACCAAAGTCAGCCTTACCTTTTCAGAATCAAGGTTAACATCTAAGTAACCTCTAGACTCAGAACTGAACTTGGCTAAGAAAAGAGTAGTTCTCATTAAACAGCTCTCCATCTCTCATGCCTTTTGTCTTCAGATGGTTTCTTACTGGAGGCTGGACCTGTACAGTCAGCACCTGACAGGATGAAGGTGGTAAGCCAGCACAGAATTGTTACCTCCATGCATAACACACTATATAAACATTTAACTTTCCAAATATTCCACTGATTACAGGACATATGATAGAAAGCCTCATTTTAAAGTGTGATCTAGCAGTCCTAATAAAGGTAGCTAAATAGAGAGTACTCACTTGAACAGAGTGGGTCCAAACACAATGGCTAAGTTTTCCAGAGTCATGAAATTCACTGCACTGTGTGTTGCTACCTTTAACAGGAAAGCAGACAGGAACTGAAGAAGGCTCTGATGAGCTTTGGGTAGGCAGTTGAGCAATTGCCTCAGGTTCCCTATGCATTCTGTTGTGTGGATTTTGTGCTCTGGGGAGGAAAATAAAAATGACACAGATATTCCTAAGAATAACACAATTTCATCATAGACATGTTTATAGATCTGAGAAAGAGGGAAGGTTTTAAAATACATTAGAGCAAAATAATGAATAATTATGTCCTAAACAAAGAATTTGTACACCAAATTTTAACAACAATGTTCATGTATCAATATTTAAGTACCATGGATTTTCCAGATACTGAGTGTTATATAGACTGTTTCTGCTATTCTTCCTATTATGACAGAATCATCTGGTACTGGCTGCTTTCTAAATGGAGTTGCAGGCAGTAGTCATTTACCTGAATCCTTAAAAGGTGACATAATATTGTCAGCCTTGATTATCCCTAGAGATTTTATGCATGCTGTATGAGTCTCATTAAGAGGAATAAGAAACTGTACCCTTTCAGCCCCATATTATCTTCATTTCCTGACTAACTGGCACTCTCAGTCTCAAAACATTTTTGCTCTATAAATATGCAACAGTAGTTACACAAGAGATGCTTAAAATCTAAATTGGGGATACTTAACATTTTCTAGGTTCTCATTCTTCAAGTAAGAGCTACAAAACAGAAAATGGGTTCACAAACATCTTTATATGATCAGCAGATCAGAATTAGCACGATAAAGTCCCCTGGTTATTTAGAACCAAGATGACAGTACTGCTCAAAAATTGACAGCTGATGCTCAATTCTGCCATACATCGCCAGGACACATCGGTGTAGCTCTGATATTGTGAATCACAAATCATGCTCTAAAGGTCAGTTTTAGCCCTAAAAACAAACATTTCATGGAGGCATCCATGGCGCTCAACCTATTAATGAGATATATGGAAAAGGGAATGGAGTGAGGTAAAAAATAATTATAATTAAAATAAAATAAAATAATACCAGCAAAAATGCATAGATAGTTCAACACAGACTTGCATAGGTCATGAAAGTGACTCTTTTTTCCTTTTTGTTTTGTTTTGGGTTTTTTTTAGTAAAATACATACATAAAACTTGGCACTTAGCAGATGAAGTTTGAACAAAAGCAACCTGCATTCTAACCCACAAAACCCACTTATTTGTATGCATATTTGTATGCAAACACCTGAAAGCAATATCACTAAGATCATCAGGCAGAATTATCTGAACACATTAGCTCAGCTATTATAAACATGAGTAGAGAGCTAGACAGTGTATTACTGTAGGTACTCATTTTGGCTTTGCATTTTGAATACTTCATGCTGCTCCACACACTGCTGTCCAAGCAGACTATAAGAAAACTAGTAAAAAGTCCTAAATAGGAACAGGGATATACAAAAAGGCTTCTGTACATAGGAAGGTAAAATAGAGAAAGAGGCTCTATCTTGGAAAAGACTGAAGTGAGGCAGTGGCTATACAAAGCAGCATTATGATGGTGATTTCATTAAAAAAAAACAAAACAAAACATTATCCCAGCAACAAGTAAGTTATCAAATTCAAAAAGCAAGCATGCAGAAGAGGTACTTTCTCAATAAATACAGGATTGGATTGCAGAATGCCTTGCCACAAGATGTTGGGGAGTTTGAAAGCCTTGGTGAATTTAAAAAATAAAGGTTATAGACAAGTTCAGGGAAGACTGGTCCATCAGAAGCAATTAAACATCAGTCTCAGGTTAAGGAAACTTAAACCCTTGCTTACAGGAAGGTGCAATGAACACATTATCTGTCACTGCCAAAGAAAGGACAGAAGCTTGGAATGTGCTCGTTCTTTACCTTGGAAAGTGTTTAGCAAGCCAGAACAGATGTTGTCTGGAAAAACAGCCACTGGCAGTTCTTTCAGAAAGAGTTTCAGGAGACTGGCAACAGAATCAACATCTCCATCAGTTACAAGGTCTACGTTTTCTCCTTGATTGTATTTCTGCTTCAATTCCTTGATTTTATTTACTGAGCCACTGATTCGAAATATACCGACACGCTCCAGGCCTGTTTAAGAAGAAATATGAAACAGTAAGCAATTGCTGCATTACCATACCTGTCTGATGAAAACTGAATCTCAAAAAGAAAGAGCTCCTCTAAAAAAACATAATAATTGTAAAAACATACTTCAGCAATTACAGCTGAAAAATACAGTTTAAACAAAGAATAACAGTTTTCAGAAACCAAACAGAGAAAAGATGAACTTACCAAATGCTTCTAGGTACTCCACCATCTGTGTCACAAGAAAAGGAACTCCATATTGTGTTGCATCCTGTACGAGGGTTTCCAGAGGAACACCAAACATGCTTCTTTCTCCGAGATCTGGTGAGACTTTACTTGTTGTGTGCCTGACTTGAATAGAAGATAAAGATTTCTGGGGAATAAAAACAGGCAAGTGATAAGCAGAAGTGGCTTTTATTATTTTAAGGGCTAAGGGTCTACACCTTAGGTAAAATTATTGTCCTCATTATGGCATCTTAGTACAGATTCTACTTTTACTGCATGTTCTTAAAATACTAATATTCTTCTGTAGGGCTGAGGAAGGACCTTCAATGAGGTAAATCCTAACAAAACACATTTCTACTTACATTCAGAGAAAATGGGGCTTCAGGTCAAGGCAGATGCCCTACTTATGACAGGAAGGGTTTACAAAACCCCTGCCTCAAGAAGAGCCCCAGCACTCAGGAAAAAGGCTGATCAAGTGCTGGCGCACAGCCTTCCAGCCCTGTGAAATGTGCAAATTTGTACCCAACTCACCAAGATAAAACATGCAAGATTCACCAAAAAGCCAGAATAGGAATTTATGCAGCAGCCACGGCATGAGCCTGGTAAATGGTTCCCATCTGCTCACCTGGTTATTCCAAATTTCTTATCACAGTAACCAATGCAAAACCACATAAGAAGTCATGAACAACCTGCAGTCGAGAGCTGCTTTGTCACCTTGCTCAGACAGAGGCTGCCCAGTACACATGCTATCACACAGGTGCCTGCACTAGGGGCTGCAGCAGGGCTCAGGCGCCTCTGTGAGGGAAGCGGGGCTGCCCTGAGCAGGGCATGGAGGTTCTGGTTGGTTCTAGAAGCTTCCACGGCCAGGCCTGCTGAGCCCCTCAGTCCTGCAGGTGGTGCCTCAGGGAGATGCACGTAAGAAAGAAGGAAATGCAGTGTGGCCATGAGGAGCCCTTGCTCTCTTATAGTCTTTCCCTCCTCTTATACCCCTCTGCTTTGCCTTACAAGGGGGTGACATTACTCACTGTGCTACGTTTTGCCCTCATTTTCCTACCAGGCAGGCTATGCTTGCAATCACAAAGCAGAGGACCTGTTTCCACCATGCCATGAGAACAGAAGTCCAAACTGGGAACATCCGGATTTACCAGTTCTGTGTCAGGAATATTAAAGCTGTACCTGCGTATCATTTTAAGGGGGGATTTTAATATATTGTAGCTTTATCCCAACACATTCTAAACTAGGCCCTTTAATGTTTTTGTTACTATGTTTTCCGAAGGAAAAAGGAAAGACTTTCTTATCAATTTGTAGCTGAACCACTATAAAAAAGCTATTTTTCAGCTTAAAAAGCTTACCCCTTAAGTAAAGGCCCAAGCCAGAGTTTGAGGAAGCTACGTCCAGCAGTGCTGCCATGGCAAACACACACAAACATGCACTGAAACCCTTAGACCCATTTAACTCTTAGAACATGATGTTAATGCTGAAGCCATAATTACCTCAAAGGAACCAATATCATATTTTATAGCATCTTTATAGCATATTTTATAACATATTTTATAGCATTTTTAATATATAAGCTGCGAAGTGTTAAAAAAAAGCCTCTACAGTATTTATGATACATTACTCTAAATATCTCCTTTCCCTCTTCAGGTGCAGCAGCTGGGTTGGGGGAAGAAGGACAGCCTTCTCAGAAAGAAAAAAAGATGTAAGAAAGGACTCAAGAAGCCAGATTTAAGTTCACTTACACAGATTGAAAGGGAAGCACTTGTTCCCATATTAGACTGCAGGAGTGTCAATGTTTCAGCTGTGCTGTTCAGAAGACACCATCACCTTTCTTCCTTTCACAAACCCATGCAGTCTAGCCAAAGCTGTTCCTCGGTAATTAACTTATCGTAGCATAATTTCTAGGCATCATCTTAATCAGTAGTTTCACTCCAGATTTTGTTGGAGGTAGAAATTCACTGCCAACAGAGGTGGATTCCTTGTAACCAGCACTTGCTTCCACAGGAGCACTGCACAAGCTAATGGATGTGTTACCATCAGATGTTTCCATGGCACCTAACACACACAAAAGCACAGCTTCCTGGAGCACACTGATTGTGTGCTTGATATTTACTTCTGAGTGGGACTTTTCAAGACAGGTTTGCAGATATTCATACTACCTGCTGTCCATTCTGCCTGCTAGCAGCATTTAAGTAAAATATTTTGAGATGACCTACAGTGTATGCATATTACAGATATGCATTTATATAACACCTGCACAATCATTTGGTAAACACACAACCAAGGATCCATTCAGCCTTTGAAATATGGTCGATGTAGATGCTGTTAAGCCCAACATCTTCTATTATAATGCTTTCAGATACAAAGCCTCTGCTAGGACTGCTGGTTCGACACAGATGGCAATTCTCTCTTCCTTAAGAAAGGGAATATCACTTTAAAACAATACAGATTTTTAACCCACTTACCTCTCCCCAAGATCCCACAATGAGGTCTGGAAATGCTATGGTTTAAGGCTTTCTTGTCTACCTGGCATGAGAAGAGACCTCACAAAGGCAACAGCCTTGTTCTCACCTTAGGATATGCCAACCCGCACACAGGAAGGACATGGCTAAATCCCTAGTGAATAGAGTTCATGGCTGAGCAAAAATTCTTCACTGCTGCCCCCGGGTCTGTGCTTTCCAGCCCTCAGAAAATTACGCATTCACCCTCCTGTGCACCAGAAGTGGCTGGCTGACCCAACGGGCATTTAACCCTGTCATGGTTTAAGCCACGACGTGTTTTCTCCAAGGTACATGGGCCATTCCCACACCACAGCTGACTCTTCTGAAGCCCAGTTTGGCCAGTGCAATGCAGCCACTGAGAGGGAACACCACACACACACCATGACTACCTGCTGGTGCCTGTCCTTCCCCACCCCAGGCAGGGGCAGCCTTACCTCATCACTGCAGATGTGCTCCACGTGGGGCCATCACCACAGCTGTGGCTGCTTGAGGGACCCTGTCCCTATCCTAACCCTTCTAGCACTGCCACCCTACGGAATTAGCCACTTCATGGCTAAGCCTGTTCACAGCTGTTGGGCCCACAGGCAGTGCTGAGGCTGATGGCACTGTCCTCCCAGCACTGCTCTGTATAAAAGTGACTGCTAAAAAGAGAAGACAATGTGCTCGTCCTGTGATTGTCATCTGTCAGAGCAGTATAGTGTCCAGCGCTCATATCTGAGAGGATACAGAGGGCATTTTTTTCTGCAACATCCCCTTCCCTCCTGCATTCAGCTCCTCTGCCCCACCACCACTGCCCTCCAGCCACCATACCCAGTGCTTTCCTGCCCTCTGTGCCTGACATACTTCATCACTGTGTTTGCAAGGCAGCTGGAGCAGGAGCAGCTCCCCCACTTTTGCTGGGTCCCTTTGAGGCAGACAAACGTACAAGGCACTCAGAGCCACAAGCACCCCAGGTGCCCATGCCCGTGGGCTGGCAGCAGTTTGCACTCTGCAGAGAAACATCTCACAAAAAGGCCTGTGCAAAAAAAATCCCAAAAGTAAAAAACAAACCCCATCTCTCTAACTCTTTGCTGCCCACCCACAGCACATTTCCACTTTCCATCTTACTAGATCACAGGAATCATCCTGCTGACATATCACTCTCCCCTGCTTCAGCTGAGCATGTGAACTCGAGGCAACACATTTTAAAGTAACAAATTCTCTAGCTAAGCAACAAACACACTTGTTTTTCTATTGGATCATCACAGGGCAAACAAGGCAGCAGCGACTGCAATCAGCCTCTTGGGCCCTACTGCTCCTCTAACTGCAGTTATTGAATGTATTTTTTTCAAGACTTGCCTGCAAAATTCAAGTCATTTCAGTTCCCCAGAAACCTTCAACAGCTAGAGGGCACACGAGGCTTGCTGGAGAGGTGGTCCTGCAAACCTCGTTTCAGACACAGCAAGGAGCCCCAGGCCCTGGACAGGATTTTCCTTTTGTGCAAAATAACATAGATCAGAAGGATTATTTCTCCTCCCAGTGGTGGTGTACAAAGAGCAGAAGGCCACAGGCAGCAGAAATTAAACATCTAATTGCTCATAGAGTGTAGCTGCAATTCAAACACTTCCTTCACAACCTCTGGATCAAAGTCAGGCCCTGCAGGACTTCAGCTATATGAATTGGATGTATGATACTTTGAGCAGACACCCTAACTTCAAGGGCTGTGTCTAAATTAAAACCAAAACTTCTGGTCTTCTAGCACCCTGCTGCCCAGGGGGAGGCCTGGGAGGAAAGGCAGTGCCCTGGTCTGTGTGGTCCGCAGTGCTGGGGGAGCCTCCACAGCTGCTTTGGTACTCCCTTCACTGGGAGCATGGTCACCAGCTACTGAAAGAGCTGCTCTTAAGGGTTGCTGGTGTCTCAAAAAGATAGAAAAAGAATAACCATTAAAGGAAAACAGAAAATCTTAGTTTTCTTCTTAGAAAAAAAGAGTTTTTAAAGAAAGCATTAGGAACAACAGGATCCCTGTGAGAGAAGGCAGAGGTAAATCCACTGTCAGCAGCAGTAAAAGACAATAGCAGCAAGAAAAATAATTAACTGAGGCTTCATGGTTCATTTCAGTTTTCCTTCAAAGCTGAAGCAGCATGTTCTGCTAACCTAGTGATCTGTGTCTCAGCTTCAGGAGTCTCCAAGCCTCCAGCCAAATAGGAAAGAAAGCCCTTCTTGGTGGGCAAGAGCCGAGCAGCTGGAACGTGTGCCCTGCGGGAAGACTGTGTGGTGATGCTGTGTGAGCAGTCCTGCCATGGCACATATCCAGCTGGAGAGGCCACAGTGGCTTTGGATTAGAAGTAAACACTGGGGAAAGCAGCTCCACTGATCCCAGCTGCAGCCTTTGAGCACTGGATTATCAGGACAGGAGTAGGACCCTGGGCTTCATATATAAATGCATAAAGCTTGACCTGAAGCAAAGAAATTTAATTGAATTGCAACTGCTAGCCAGCCCCTCCATGACATGGTCCTCATTATCCAGTGGCAACTTCAAAAGCAACTTTTCAAGGACATGCAGACATATAATGCTGATTAAAAAAAAAAATCAGTACTGTATGTTTTCCATTTAAAGCACTGTTCACCATAAATGCTGTTTCAATCACATGCTTATCTTCTTGCATCTCAGAATTTGTGCTGCCTTAATTTTAATTGTGTTGATGCCTTGATGTATTTGAAGAGCTTAGGTCTTTTTTCTTGTATTTCAAATGGATAACTGCAGAGAAGAAAAACCTTTGCAGTGTGTCAGGAGGTCAAATAACACCATAAATATAAGCTAATCAGTTTATGAAACCACCACTAAATTTGTCTCATCTGTAGGAAACACTCCAGACTCTCTGCCATTCCTCTGCTGGAGCTGCTAGATTATGCTGTTAATACAGGAAGATTATGAACTGTGTTGCATCCAAAACACTGGACATTACCAGTTCACATAATCAAACTCATTTCAGCTGCTTTAAAAACCTTTTCTTCCCATATATACCATAAAAAGCAATCTAGTGGAGGAAAAGGTCACAGGGTAGCATCCCATAGGACCTCATCACTAATGGTGCTGCTTTTTGCAGCTTGCCAACAGAAAAATCAGCACATGTACCCTGGCCAGCCTTCAGCACCCGCAGCTGTAAGACACAGTACACAATCTCTTGCCCAGCCCAGCACCAGGGCCTGGGGGCAGCAAGGGGTAAAAAGGACCAGACAGACCCTGTGGGAGCCAAGGGAGGAGGAGGAGAAGCCACTTTGAGACAAGAAAGTATAAGGTGATGTTGTAGCAGGAGTTATCTGTCTCCAATATACTGTTCAGAACCATTTTGAAAAACCACTGTTTTGGGTGGGGAGCTCAGAGGAAACCCACAGGCATAAGTAGGACATTTATTGTTCTGACTTTACAGTTTATCTGACTTTTAAAAATAGGATAAAATACCATGACAAGCCCATAAACCCATGTCAAGTGTCTGTGCTGACCTCTTAAACTTCAGAGCTAACAGCTTCATCAAGTAGGATTAGAAATGCCACAGTCCTAGAGAGTTGTCTGAACAGAAGGAAAACAGAAAAATTGCATTGTTTCCTCCCTGGCTGAAAATACTCAAGACCATCGCATTCAGGGATGCATTTTTTCCTTCATCTTTGTCATCTTTGGGATCAGCATGATCACTTGGTCAATGCACTACGTTGTATTGGTTGCACCATCTCAGCCTTGACAACCCTTGTGCCCCATAAAAAAGCCCCATAAAAGCATCCCTCAAATATCATTAAAAACAGTAAGGAGGCACAGATCGGTTTCCATCAGATGAACCTGTCTTACTGGCTTTTGAAGCAGGTTTTCATTGCCACCCTAAACACACAGCTTTTGTGTACTTTCTTTCAATTCATCATGAGCTACTTTAAACTGGAAAATGAGTAAGTTCTGAAAAATTGCACATTTTAAAGT